AGTGATAGAGAGAGAGAAAATTACATGTAATAGAGAGTGTGAGCAAGAGAAAGAAAAAGAGAGGTAAAGAAAGGGAGAGATCAAAATGGATAGAGAGAGAGAAGTTTGAATGTATGTGTGTGTGTGGGAGAGAGAGAGTTTGACAGAGTGTATGTAAGAGAAGAGGGAACAAAAGAGAAGAGTGAGAGATAGAAAAAGTAAGAGATAAAGAGAGCCAGAGAAGGGGGAGGGGTTGAGAGGGAAGGACGGGAAGAGAGTGAGGAGAGAAAATAAAATAGAGCAGGAGGGGAGAAAGATGGGGAATAGATAGAAGCAAGAAATGAAGCAAGAAAGAAGATGATGAGATGAGTGAAAGAGGGTTTGGTAAAAATAGAAGAATGTATGTTGAAGAGCGAGAGTGTGTGTGCGAGATATAGAATAAAATAGCTTGAGAAAGTTAGAGTGGGAGAGAGGGATATATATTGAGAGAATAAGAGAAAGAGAGAAGGAGAGAAATAGAAGAGTAATTGAAAAATTGATAGAAAGAGGTAGAGAGAGTGATGATAAGATATTGAGAGAGATAAATGTGAGAGTGGAGGAGAGAGACAGAAGAGAGAAAGAGAGGGAGGCAAAAACATATGGAATGAGATAAGGAGAGAGAAGCTGACAAATGGAGAGACAAAACTAGATAAAAAAGAGCAACAAAAGAGAGGCAGGTGTGATAAATAGAGAAGAAAAAGAAAGGGATGGATGGATAGATAGAAACAAAAAAGAGAAAGGTGAAAGAGAAGAGAGAGATAGAGAGAAATAATAAGGGTAAGAGCAAGGGAGCGAGATTAAGATAAAGAGAAAGAGCGAGAGAAGACGGTGTGAGAAAGAGAGAAGAAAGGGTGTGTGAGATAGAGGGAGTTATTATGAGAGAGAGGGAGATAGATAGACAGAGATGAGGAAAGAAAGAGAGCGAGAAGAGTGGAGCGAGAAGAGTGAAAGAGGAGAGGAAAAAAGAAAAAGGGATTAAGATAAATGTGTAGGGGGAAGAGAGATAGTAAGAGGTGGAGTGGGAGTGAGAGAGTGAGGCAAAGAGCAAGCTAGAAAGAGATAGAGAGCAAGTAAAAAAGTGGAGAAAGGGAGAGAATAAGAGAGAGAGATAGGGAGGAGGTAGAGAGAGTGTGTGAGAAATGAATAAGGTGTAGATAGTTGGAGAGAGGGGAGCGAGAGAGTGAGTTAGAGAGAGAAAACTATAAAGAAAAGAGAGAGTGAGGAAAGAGAAAGAAATAGAGAGAATGATAGAGTGAGAAATGAATGGAGAGGGAGGAAAAGAATAAGTGTGATTAAAAGTACAAGAAAGGCAGCAAACAAGGTGGGTGAGAGAGAATAGGATTGAAATAGGGAAAACAAAGAGGACAAGTGAGTGGGAGTGGGAGTAGGAGAAAGAGGGATAGAGAGTTAATAAGAAGGTGTCAGAGAAAGCTAGGAAGAGGGAAAGAGACGATAAGTGAAAGTGAAAGAGAAGTTTGAAAGAAGAAGTTGGCAAAATGGAAAGAGGGGGTAAGATAATTATGGAGGGTGGAAGAGAGATAGTAAGAGGTAAAGTGGGAGCAAGAGAGAAGGGGAAAGAAGCAAAAAAGAGGAGAGTGGCAAAGAAAGATTAAAAGGGAAGCGAGTGAGGTAAAAATAGAGAGAAAGTGAGAATATATAAGAGATAGATGAGATTAGATGAAGAAGAAGAGATTAAGAGAGAGGGGTTGAGAGGGAACGAGGGGAAGAGAGTGAGAGATAGAAAATAAAATAGAGGGGAGGGGAGAAAGATGGGGAAAAATTTTTACCTAAACCTTTTTTTCTTACTTTATCAATTTTCTCTCTCACTCCCTTTCACTCTCTCACTCTCTCTCACTAGCTTTCTAACTTGCATGCTCTCTTTTCAACCCCTCCATATCTCTCTTCCAATCCAACCCTCAAACACTCCCATCCTATATCCCTCTTTCTCCCCCTCTTTATCCCCCTTCCTCTTTTTTTCCTTCTCCCTCCATTTCCTCTACTCTCTTTATCTTCTTCAGACCATTCTCTCTCCCTCCCACTTTTACTCTCTCCATCTCTCTTTCTCTCTCTCAATATCTCTCTCTATCTCAATTCTCTAACACTCTCTTTCCTTCTCTCCCTCTTTCTCTCTTTCCTCTCTCTTTCTCTCCCTCTATCTATCTCTCACTCTTTCTCAGTCCCTCTCTCTTTCATCTCTTTATCTTCCCTGCCTCCCTCTATCTCTCTCTCACTCTTCCTCTATTCCTCTCTCTTTTTTTCTTCTCTCTATCTTCCCTACCTCCCTCCCTCCCTCCCTCACTTCCAATCTCTCTGTCTTACTCCCCCTCCCACTTTTACATCCATTATCTCTTTAACTCACTCACCCTTTGTCCCTCTCTCTTTACCTCTCTTATCATCTCTCTCACTCTATCTTTTTTCTCTCTCACTCTCTATGACAATCTCACTCTCTGTCACTCACTTTTTCTCTCTCTCCCAATCTCTCTCTTTCATGTCCTCTCTTTCACTCTGTTCTTTTTTCTATCTCTCCTTCATTCCAATCCACAAACACTCCCTCCCTAATTCTCTTTTTCTCCTCCTACCTATCTCCTTTCCTCTATATTTCCCTCTCTCTCCATTCTCTACTCTCCCTATGATCTCTCATATATTTTCTTTCTCTCATTCCCTCTTAACCTCCTCCATTTTTTCTTCTTTCTCTTTCATAACTCTCTCTCTCTTTTTCTCCTTTTTCTCTCTCTTTTTTTGCTCTATTTCCATTTTTATTTCTTCTTATCTTGTTTATTTTTCTCTCTTTCCTTAATTTCTTTGCTTGCTTTCTCTTACTTACTCTCCCTCAGTTGCTTTTGCTCTCTCTCATCTCTCTCGCACCACTGTCTTGCAATCTCTACATGTCTCTCTTTCTTTCTATCTTTCTCTCTCTCTATCTTACCTCAAACTTTCCCTCTCTCCCACTCCCACTGTCACTACCTCTCTCCATCCCTCTTTTTATCTCTTTCCATCTCTCACACTCTCTCCCTCCCTCCATAACTCACACACTCTCTCCCTCACTCTCTTTCATTTTGTTTGACCCTACCTTTCTTTTCCCTTTCAACATACTTATCATAATTACTCTATCCCTTTTTCTGTGCCCATCTTTGCCTACATCTCTACATTTCTCTCTCCTTTTTTACCCTCTCTATCTCTCCTCACTCTTTACCTCTTTCATCTCTCTCTTCGTCTCTCCATCTCCCTATCTCAATCTCTTTCACTTTCTTGTTCATTCTATTTCTCTCACATTCTCTCTCCTCCACTCTCTTGCTCTCTCTCTTACTCTTTTCACTCTCTCTCCCTCCCTCCCACAATCCCACTCTCTTTGTCTCACTCTTCCTCCCTCCTTCAGTTTCTTTATGTCTTTATTCCACTCTCCCATCCTCCTTCTCTTTTTACGTCCCTCTTGCTCTATCTTTTTTTTACTTTATCAGTACTCTCTTATTCTCCTTCCTCTTACTAACTCCCTTCCTCTCTCTCTCCCTTTCTCTCTCTCTCTCACACTCCATCTCTCCCTGTTTTACAATCTCACTTGCTTCATATCTTTAGCTCTCTCTTTCCTTACTATTCTTTTTCTATATTGCTCTTTTTCTCACCATCGTCGATTCTTGTTACCTCCATCTCCAAAATTTCACCCATACTCTCTTCCTCTATATGTCTCACTCATTGTTCTCTCTCTCGACTCTCTATCTACTATTCTCGTATATGTGTCTCTCTTTTCTCACACTCTCTTTTCTCTTTTTACCTCTCTCTTGCTCTATCCCTCTCTTATCATCTCTCTCATTCTATCTTCTTTATCACTCACTCTCTATTACTCTCTCTCTATGCTACTCATTTTTTCATTGCCCATCTCTCTCTTTCTTGCCCTCTCTCCCACTCTCTGTCTCTTTCTCAATCTCTACCCCATTATAACCCTCAAATGCTCTCTCCTTACAGCCTTTTTTTCCCTCCCTATCTCCTTTCCTCTCTCTCTCTATTTCCATCTCGCTTCCTTCTCTACTCTCTACCATCTCTCATACATTTTCTCTTATCTTTCGATCTTTACCTCTCATATTATCTCTCAAACTCTTTCATTCTTTCTTCTCTTTCTTCTTTAAGTCTCCCTCAATTTCTCTCCCTTTTCTTTCACTTTCCCGCTCTATTACCATCTTTCTATCTCTTCCTCTATTCCTCTCTCGCACCCGTCTCTATCTTTCCATAGCTCGCTCTCCTGCTTTAACTATCCTTCATCCCCTCAATCTGAACCTTCTCTCTCGCCCACTTTCTACCTCTCTCCTTCTCTCTTTCTCTCACACCTTATTGTTATCTCTCTCTCCTTCTATCTCCTGCTCTTTCTCCCTCACTTATCCAATCTGGAGAGCCTTATATCACTTACCCCATTGCTCACTCTCTCTCACCTACTCTCCTTCACTTGCTCTCGCTCTCTCTGATGTGCATATATGCAAGACAGGACCGGGGGGATAGATGTTCTTATTAGAAAACCGGATGTGCTATGCCAAAACAGAAAAAAATTGATGGAAATTCTTATGAGATGCAAAAAACTAAACAATAAAATCGTACCAAGGCTGGAAAAAATTGAATTATATGTAGAACCTGATGTAAAATGGATGGATGGAGGTAAACCTTGACCCAATGCTCAACGCAAATAAGAATGTTGGTATAAGACCATAACCTTATGCTTGAGATGAGGAAAGAACCTTGGTATAATGGAAGACCCCATAAACTGGGTGGAAATCTGCTTGATAAGTCGAGAAAGAACTCCTTAGGCGATGACTTAGAGTTCTGTTGGAATCCTAAGAAAATCGTGAGAGACAACCCAAATGCAAGTTTTTTTGACAAGAGTCAAAGTCCCTTTCTCATTTGACATAAGGCTTATATATAGGCTAAATCTTACAAGAAAATAAAAGAGAAGATAAAATATTTTCTAAAATAAATGAAAAACTACATCAAGTTGGCATGCAAGCCATTATTCAACCACAATAAAAAAAATACAAAATATTCAGCCATAATAATATGTCTCATTTTTCCTTGGGTTTCGAATAAGCTGACAAATCTTTGTGGCTCTTTGTCCTTAGATCATAGGAATTGGCTTGAGTCCAAGTCTCATGGATTAATCCATTAAGAGATTCTTCCACCCTCTTTGCACAACATCTAGTAATTGGCCCACATGGAACTTGAACAAAATATTCTCTTGAAGTCATGTCATTGTCATCCATGCTATCATTTGCATCGTTCCCCTCCTCTTGAAAAAAATTTGTCCTCAAATCAATACCTGCATCAAAAGGACTTAAATTAGTAACATTGAAAGTACACTCACATTATACTTATCTGGTAGATCCAGCTTGTAGGTGTTGTCGTTGATACGCTCAAGTACTTGGAAAGGACCATCTCCTCTTAGAAGTAGTTTAGAATGCCTTTGTTCTGGAAATCTTTCCTTTCTCAAGTGTAACCAAACCCAATCTCCAGGTTCGAAGATCATTTTATGTCGTCCCTTAATGGAATGTTTTTCATATTGCTTTGTTCTTTGTTTAATATTCAGTCTTGCCTTCTCAAGTATCTGCTTTACAAACTCAACATTTTTCTTACCATCCAAGTTAACATGCTCAGAAACAGGTAATGGAATTAAATCAAATGGCGTTAAAGAATTAAAGCCATAAATAATTTCAAAATGTGAAAATTTAGTAGTAGAGTGAACAACCCTATTATAAGCAAAATCAAAATGTGATAAACAATCTTCCCATGTTTTGATATTTTTCTTTATGACTGCCCTAAACAAATTAGACAATGTCCTATTTACTACATCAGTTTGACCATCGTTTTGTGGGTGACAAGTAGTAGAAAACAATAATTGGTTCCTAACTTACACCACAAGGTCTTCTAAAAGTAACTCAAGGACTTAGGATCTCTATTATAAACATTTGTTCTAGACATACCATGTAAGCTTATAATCTCCTTAAAGAACAAATCTGCAATATTAGAAGCATCATCAATTTTGTGACAAGGAATAAAATGTGTCATTTTGTAAAATTGATCCACCACCACAAAAATTGAATCCCTACCACATTTAGTATTAGGCAAACCTAGCACAAAGTCCATAGAAATATCAATCCAAAGTGCATTAGGAATTCGTAAAGGAGTATACAAATCGTAGGTTTGCACTCGAGATTTAGCTTGTTGACATATGACACACCTACCACAAATCCTCTCGACATCCCGCCTCATGTGTGGCCAATAGAAGTTTTCCTACAAAATAGCTTAAGTCTTTGCAACTCCAAAATGTCCCATTAATCCCCCTCCATGAGATTCCTATACAAGCAATTCTCGTAACACATAACCTATTTTCTCAAAATAGAAATCCATCATGTTTAAAGAATTTACTGCAAGCAATTTTATCACAAGCTTGATATTTATTACAAAAATCATCATCATCAAGGTATAAATCTTTAATATGTTCAAAACTTTCCTACAAAATAGCTTAAGTCTTTGCAACTCCAAAATGTCCCATTAATCCCCCTCCATGAGATTCCTATACAAGCAATTCTCGTAACACATAACCTATTTTCTCAAAATAGAAATCCATCATGTTTAAAGAATTTACTGCAAGCAATTTTATCACAAGCTTGATATTTATTACAAAAATCATCATCATCAAGGTATAAATCTTTAATATGTTCAAAACCAAGTAACTTTGCATGAAGAGTAGATAGTAATGCATACCTTCGAGAAAGAGCGTTAGCAACAACATTTTCCTTAACTTGCTTGTATCGAATGTCATAAGGAAATGTCTCAATAAACTCCACCCAACGAGCATGCCTTTTGTTTAGCTTGGGTTGATATTTCAAGTGCTCAAGGACTCATGATCAGTGTGAATCAAGAGCTTCTTAGGCCAAAGGTAGTGCTTCCAAGTTTCCAAGGCTCTAACCAATGCATACATCTCCTTCTCATAAGTTAGATAGTTTAAGGTGGCCCCACTCAACTTTTCGCTGAAATAAGCAATTGGTCTTCACTCCTACATAAGCACAGCACATATGCCAATACCTGAAGCATCACATTCAATTTAAAATGTTTTAGAAAAACTAGGTAAAGTCAAAACAAGGGCGTGGGTAAGTTTTTTTTTTATCAGATGAAATGCATTTTCCTACGGTTCTCCACACTTGTACCCAATGTTCTTCTTGATTAATTCAGTGAGTGGTGCAACTATGCTACTATAGTCTTTCACAAATCATCAGTAGAAACTACCAAGTCCATAAAAACTACAAACATTGCTTATACTAGTGGGACTAGGCCACTCATGTATAGCACACACCTTTTCTTCATAAACCTGTATACCCTGCGCACTCACAACAAATCCTAAGAAACAAAGTTTATTGGTGCAAAAGGCACAATTTTCCAAGTTACCAAATAACTTTTGTTTTCTCAAAACATATTAAACAAGTTTTAAATGTTCAACATGATCCTTCAAGTTTTTCATATATATCAGAATATCATCGAAATAGACCACAACAAATTTTTCAATAAAAGCTCACAAAACATGATTCATTAGTCTCATGAAAGTACTAGGTGCATTAGTCAAACCAAAAGGCATAACTAACCATTCATACAAACCATATTTTGTCTTAAAAGCAGTTTTCCACTCATCACCTTCTTTCTTCCTAATTTGATGGTATCCACATTTTAAATCAATCTTAGAGAACACACAAGATCCATGTAACTCATCTAGCATATCATTAAAGAGAGGAATAGGGTGTCTAACTTTATCATAATATTGTTGATGGCTCGACAATCCACACACATTCTCCATGACCCATCCTTCTTAGGAATTAGAATTACTGGAACAACACATGGACTCATGCTCTGGGAGGCACAAAGATGAAAAGGAGAGGTGATATAATGAGAGTGCAGAAGTGCGAGAAACGTTTCCTCGGGATTGCTTCTATAAGCTGGTTGGTTGGGAATGGTGGCTCCTGGTAAAAAATCAAATTGATGCTAAATCCCTCAAATGAGTGGCAAACTATGTGGAATATCCTCAGGAAAGACATCTTCAAACTCTTGCAAAAGAGAAACAATAGAACTAGGCAAAGTATTGTCATATTCATTAGTGTTTAAGAATGCCTCTTTGTAAAAAAGTACAATCATTGGTTTATTTAAAAATAATGCTCTATTGATTTCAATTGCCTTTGCATAAAAATTCTTTTGTTTTCTTTCTTCGTTTCTCTTAATGGCTGCATGTTCCATTTCTTCATTTTTCTCATTTGGGTCAGCCTCTTTATGTTGATCACTCCTTTTCGTTTAACAATAATCATTTTGCAATCTCACTTGATCCTTGTAGACCTCCTTTGGTGTCATTGAAATGAGAGTGATAATTCTATCATTGACTTCATATGAGTATTTATCAGTGAAACCATCATGTTTAACTCATCACTCAAATTGTCATGGTCGGCCTAGTAACTAATGGTCTGCTTGCATTGGTACTACATCACACAAGACTTCATCTTCATATTTTCCAATACAAAATGAGACCCAAACCTACTTGTTCACCTTCACCTCATCACTATCATTAAACCATTGCAACTTGTAAGGCCAAGAATGCTTAATGGTTGGCAGTCCTAGTTTTTCAACCAAAATAGTGCTAGCATAATTAGTACAACTTCCTCCATCAATGATCAAACTACATACCTTATTTTGTACATGGCACCTAGTGTGAAAACTATTTTCTCTTTGAATTCCCTCATCAACCTTGGTCTGCACACTTAAAGAAGCCCTTCTTGTGACTAACAATTCTCCCGTAACCGCATATTCTTCACATTCAATGTCCTCTATTGGTGGTGTAGATTCAATTTCTAATTCTTCATCAGTCTCAATCTCTCCATTGTCCCTCATCACCATGATTTCTTTGCTAGGACATTGGTTGGCTATATGACCGCGGCCTTAACATTTAAATCATTTAATGTCTCGATTTCTAGAAGTGGAAGGTTCAATTTTCCCTTGAGTTCCTTGGTTGATTTTCTCTTATCTTGGCTCAGGTTTGGACTTTGCAAATGATTTGTCCTCTTTTTTCTAAAAATTTGGCTTCCATAAAGAACCCACTAGTTGACAAACATGGGCCACCTCTCCTCTTGAGCTGTTGTTCTACCATGATGGCCACATGTAACATGTCCTCCAACTCCACATAATGTTGCATTTCCACTCTTTCTTAGATTTTTGGGTTTAAACCATTTAAAAATCTAGCCATAGTAGCTTCTCGGTCCTCTTCTACATTAGCCGAATCATAGCAATCTCCATCTCTTGATAGAAATCTTCCACACTTTGATTACCTTGCCTAAGCCTTTGTAACTTCTGATATAACTCTCGATAGTAATGACTTGGCACAAATTGCTTCCTCATAACAACTTTCATTTCTTCCCATGTTTTTTATGGGATGTTCTTGATTTCTTCTTCTGCTCAACATTAATTGATCCCACCAAACAATAGCATAATCAGTAAATTCAATTGCAGCCAATTTCACGTTCTTTATTTCGAAAAAGTTGTGGCAGTCAAACACTAATTCCATCTTCTTCTCCCATTCAAGATAGGCTTTAGGATTATTTTTGCCTTAAAAAAAGGAATGCGCGTCTTAATGCCTGCCAAGCAAGAATTTGAAATTAACAACTCAAATCAAATTCTAAATTACTACAAATAAGAAAAATATGAAATGCTAAAAAAAACATTGGGATGATGATAATGAAATATGAATTTGATATCTTGAATCAAAACAAAAGCACTACTAAACTGATTCGGACAATCATAACAAGAACAAGAAATGATATCAAGAACAACAAGAATATCAACAAAGAAATAAAAATAACAAGAATTTAACATAACAAGATCACATCAAGATGATCTATATTTCAAGAAACAAAAATAACAAGAAATGAAAATAAAAAGTTCACATCAAGAACAGCATTTATCATAAAGAATATGAAGAAGTAGATGATTTTAACAATAACATGAACACTGATTTGGACAATTTCGATAATAAATAGAACAACTGATATGAAAATAATGGGACAATCACATGAGTAATAACGATGTGAATATAAACAAGAACACAATTATGGAAGTAGCTAATTGAAGAATTAATTACGAAATGAATAACAATTTGGATTACTTAGTAAAAATTGGAAATAGACCAAAAATTGGACATAAGTAACTAGAAAATAATTAATCTCATTAATTACCTAGAAAAAGAAACATCCAACAAGAACACAAAAGCCGAACAAGAAATCTATGTGCTCAAGAACCGTGAGGCTCTGATACCAAACTCAGGTGAATATATGCAAGAGAGGACCGTAGGAATTGATGTTCTTATGAGAAAACCGGATGTGCTATGCCAAAACCAAAAAGAATTGATGGAAATTCTTATGAGATTCAAAAAAACCAAACAATATAACAGCCCCAAAGCTAGAACAAACCAAATTATATGTAGAACCTGCGGTAAAATGGATGGATGGATGTAAACCTTGACCTAATGCTCAATGCAAACAAGAACTTTGGTATAAGACCACAACCCTATTCTTAACGTGAGGAAAGAACCTTGGTACAATGGAAGACGTGACAAATGGTATGGAAATCCGCTTGATAAGTTGGGAAAGAACTCCTTAGGCGATGTCCTAGAGTTCCGTTGGAATCCTAAGGAAACTCCGGGAGACAACCCAAATGCAAGTTTTTTTTGGCAAGAATCAAAAGTCCCTTTCACATTTGACATAAGACCTATACATAGGCTAAATATTACAAGCAAATAAAAGAGAAAATAAAATATCTTCTAAAATAAATGAAAAACTACATCAAGTTGGCATGCAAGCCATTATTAATGCAAGCTATTATTAACCACAATAAAAAAAACACAAAATCTTTAGCCATAATAATATGACTCCTTTATCCTTGGGCTTGGAATAAGTTGACAAATCTTTGTGGCTCTTTCTCCTTAGAAACCAGCAATTGGCTTGAGTCCAAGTCTCCTAGACTAATCCATTAAGAGCTTCTTTCACCCTTTTTGAACGACATCTACTAATTGGCCCACATGGAACTCGAATTAAATCTTCTCTTAAAGTTGTGTCATTGCCATCTATGCTATCATTTGCATCACTCTCATCTCTCATAACCCTTCTCTTATCACTCTTTACCTATCTATCTCCCTTCTATTCCATCTATCCTTACCTTCACCTCTCTATCCCCCTTTCTCACTCCCTCACACTCCCTCACTCCCTCTCTCCAGCTCAGTCCCCTACTCCTTCAGTCTCTTTCTCCCTCTCTGACCCTCTGTCTCGTTTCTTCCTCTCCATGCTTATCTTATTCTCTCTCCACCCTCACTCTCTCCCCAACTCTCCCCTACCTCTCACTATATCACTCTCCTTTTTTCTCCCACTCTTTATCTCTCTCTTTCCTCTTTACCTCTTATATTCTCTCACTCTCTCTCGTCTCTCCATCTCTTTATCTCCGTCTCTTTATCTCTTTCACTTGCTTGCTCACTCAATCTCTCCCCCTCTCTTATCATTTCTCTCTTCTTGTCTCTCTTATCTCTATTAATAGTCTTCTCTCTCTTTATCTTACTCTCTTCACTCTCCCTCCCTCCTTCTCTCACTCCCTTTCTATGTCTCACACTCCCTCCCTCCATCTTTTTTAACCTCTATCTCATGTTCTTTCTCTATTACCTTGCTCTAATTCTCTCACACTCTCTTTGTCTCTCTCTCTCTCACCATCTTTATCTATCTATCTCTCTCTCTTGGTCTCTTTTTCTTTCTATCACTCTCTCGTGCTTGATTCTCATTCCTTCCTCTTTCTCTCACTCTCTTGTGCCCTCTCCTTCCCTCCCTCCTTCCCCATCTCTATCACTCGCTCACTCTCCCCCCTCTCTCCCTATGCCTATAATCCCTCTCTTTCATCTTAATCTCTTCTCTATCTTCCCCTCTTCTCTCCCATTCTCTATACTCACTCCCTCCCTACTCTCTTATCTCTCTCTTGTTTCTATAAATTTAGCTCCCTCTCTCCCTCTCTCAATACTCTCTCCTCTCACAATCTCTTCTCTCTCTTGCTCCCGCCCACTCTCTCACTATTGCTCTCTCACTTTTACTCACTCTATCCCCATTTTTCCTTCATTCTTTCTCTCTGGCCATTTTTCAATCTAAATCTTCCTCTCTCTTTTATAACTATCTTTAGACTCTCCCTCTCTCATTTCTCACTTACTTTTTTTCTCTTAACCTCCTTATTTGTTTCTTTATCTCCCCCAAATCACCTCTTTATTTTCTCTCTTTACTCCACTCTCTTTTTCTCTCTCACTCACTCTCTTCCTCCCTCCTTCCCTTTCTATCAAGCTTGCTCTCACCCACACACTCTCTCACTTGTTTCCGATTTTTCCCATTTTTCTTCTCTCTCACTCAGATGTGTACTCCCCACTTTCTTTCTCTCCTTATATCTCTCTTTTCACCCCACTCTCTCATCTCTTTTATGTATCATTTGTCCTTTGTCGCTCTATCTTCTCTTTGTATCTCTCACTCCGACTCTCTGTACCTCCTCCTCTCGCTCTCTAACTCTCTTCCTCTCTCTAAAACCCTCCTCCTTCTATTCCTCTCGCTCTAACTTCCTCATGGTCTTTCTCTCTCTCTCTCTCCATTCGACCCTTTATCCCTCACTCTCACTTATCTTCCTCCCTCTCTCTCTCACTTCTATTTTTCTAGCAATACTCACTCCCTCTTTCACACTCTCTAGCTCCTATGCTCACTCGCTTGTTGTCTCCCACTCTATTTTTTCTCTGTTTGATCTTGCTACTCTTTTTTTCTTTCTATTATTTTTCTCTGTCCCTTTTTCTCCCACCCTCCCTCTAGCTTTCTCTCCCTCTCACTCACACGTTATTTTGATTTCTTTCCCTTTATCCTTGCACTTCCTCCCTCTCTCTCATTCTCTCTTGCTCTGTCTCTCTATCATCCCTTTGTCTATCTTACTCTCTCTCTCTCTTGCATGCTCGCTATTCTCTATCTCTTTATCACCCTATTACTCTCCCTGTCTCTCTCTTTTCATCTCATTATCTCTCTTAATTCTTCTTCCTATCTCACCAACTTTCTCTGCTCCTCTTTCTTTCTCCTCTCCTCCACCTCTTTCTTGCACTCTTACGCTTTCACTCACTCTTACTTTATGTCTTGCTCTTGCTCTCTCTTCTCTCTAGCTCTCGCTTGTGCTTCTTTCACTCTCCCTCTCTATGTCATCCTCTCTCACACTTTCTCTCTCCCCTCCTCTCTCTACCCTCTACTCTCTACCTCCTATATATCCTCTCCTACTCTCTACCTTACTCTCTCTCCATTTCTTATTCTCTCTCTTTCTCACAAGCTTTATCTTTATTTCTCCCTCTATCATTCTCTCTCTATCTTTCTCGCTCTCTCTTCATTTTCTCTTCTCTCTCTTCATTTTTTTGTCTATCTCATTTGCTTACTCTATTGTACTCTCTTTTCTCTCTCATCGTTCTCTTTTTTAACCAACTCTTTTTCTCTCTCATTCTTCTCTTTCTCTCTACACCTTCCTCTCATCTATCTCTTCATCATCTCTTCATCTCTCCCTCATACACCACTCTCTCCCTCTCCATTTCTCTCTCTCTCCTTCCTCTCTTCCTCAATTTCTCTCTTCTCTTGATCTCTGTTCTATTCACTCCCTCGCCATCTCTCTCTTTATCTTATTTTGTTTCTCATCCTCTCTCTAACTCACTTTCATTTCTTATTTCTCTCCTACTCTTTCTATCTCTTTCTCCCCTCTTATCCCTTGCACTCTCTCTCAATGTCTTATCTCTCACTTTCTTTCTCTCTCTCTCCCTTGAGAGATAAGGAGATGGAGGAAGGATGGACAAATAAAAAATGTATAGATCAAAATCAGTGGAAGGGAGAGTAAGGAAGTGAGTCAAAGAGAGATGGGGAGGAAGAGAGAGGGAGACATGAAGGCAGGGAAGATAAAATGAAAGAGAAGGAAGGAGAGGGAGAGAAAGATAGAAATCATAAGGGAAAGATAGAGAGTGATAGAGATGGATGGAGTAAGAGCGTGAAAGTCAGTGAAAGAGTGAGAGAGAATAGCAAAATAAAGAGAGAGAGAGAGAGAGTTAGAGAGCTAGAAAGGGAGCTAAAGACAGTGAAAAAAGCGAGACAAGCTGGAATAATCGAGGTTGAGGAAGAAGCAAAGTGAGTTAAAGAAAAGAGAGGGAGAGAGGGAGAGAGGGAAAAATAAGTTGTGCAATATTATAGAGATTCTGTGATAGAAAGCAAGAATGAGTAAGCAAGAACGTTGGGAAGAGTAATATAATAAGAAAGAAAGTTGGGAAGTGAGAGAGATCTAGAAAGAAAGAGAGAGAGAGAGAAAATAAGAGATTAAGAGGGAGGGAGAGCGAGATTAAAAGCAAATTGGGGATGAGTAAGAATAAGGGAGGGCAGGAGAGACATAGAAGACTTAGAGATTGAAATAGTGAGAGAGTACAAGCAAGGGAGCGAGAGAGAGATATAAAGAGAGGAGGAGAGTAAGAACAAGTGTATGGTAAAAAGAGTAAGAGATATTGAGAGAGAGAGAGAGAGAGAAAGAGAGAGAGTGAGAGAGAGGGAGGGAATAAGGGAGTGATGGAGTGAAAGAGAGAGGGAAGGAGAGAGAGAAGAGTGAGAAAAGGATAGAAACATTGAGGGAGAGAAAAGAGAGGGATTGAGAGAGAGAAAGGGACGAGAGTGAGAGAGAGCATGTATGAGTGATAGAGAAAGAGAAAGGGTGAGCAAAATGAGAGAAAGGAGAGTGAGAGAGTGAGAGAACAAGAGCGAGAGAGAGAGAGTAACAGAGTGAGAAAAAGAGATGGAGCAACGAGTGAGAGATTGAGTGAGAGAGAGAGAGTGGGAAAGAGAGGGATAGAAGGACGGAGTGTGAGAGATTGAAGAGATATGGAGTGAGAGGAAGAGTAAGAGAAAAATATAGAGAAGTAAGAGTGAGGGAAGATAAAATAAGAGAAAGAGTGCAACAGAGGATAAGAGAATGAGCCGATATAGAGAGAGGAAGAGAGAGGGAAATGGAGATGGAGAAAGGGTGAGAGAAACAGGGATAGAGTGTTAGTGAGAGAGATAGGGAAGGAGGGAGGGATGGGGGGAAGAGAAAGGGAGTGAGTGAGGGAGAGAGATTGGAAATAAAAGAAAAAGAATGATTGTGAGATGAGAGAGAAAAGAATAAGAAATAAATGAGAGTAGTAGATAGATAGAGAGTGAGAACAATGAGTGAGAAAGAGCGAGGGAGAGAGTATGAGTGAAATTTAAAAGATGGAGGGAACGAGAATGGAAGAGAGTGAGCAAGAGATAATAGAGGGAAAGGAGAGTAAGGCAAGGGAGAGCCAGAGAGATGAAGGCAGAGAGTGTAAAAGAGGGAGGGCGGGGAGAGAAAGAAAAGAAGCAAGTGAAAGGAGGGAGGGATGGATCAAGAGAGAAGAGTGATTGAAAGTGAGAAATAATGAGAAAGAAGAGGGGCAGAGAGAATGCTACAGAGAGGGAGACTGAATGGGAAAGGTATGGAGAGAGAGCGACGGAGAGAGTGATGTATAGAGGGAGATAAATAATGTGTAAAGCATTAGAAGGGATACTAAGGAAAGAGAGTGAGAGAGAGAGAGAGAAAGAGAACAAGAAAGTGAAGAAATAAAAGT